CCGTAGGATCCCAGTAGGATGGCCATACTGCCAGGAGCAGCATAATGTAGGGGCCGGTCTACCTGGGCTCAGCTGATCGAGCCATCCTACTGGCTGATAGCACCGGTGGGTGTGTCTGGAGGTACCTCTGGAGGTGAGCAAGCCATAAGCTGACTGTATTATACTGTATATTGTAAAATATATTTAGAAAATATACAGGAGCACCACACTTTATACATTGGAAAGCGGAGGCAACAATGAACAACATAGATGAAAAACCTGGCCATTGTTGTTGTTTTGATTCCTCCGATCTTTGATTACCGATTCCGATTTTGTAAAAATAACGTGATCGGTGCCGATACCCGATCCGAGGATATATATATTCCTGTCACTCCTGTTGTTTCAGTATTGATATTTGGGATGAGGATCATTTGAGATTTTGAATTAAATCTCACTTCCTCAACAACCCAATTGTCGGAATCAGTTACATTCCTACAAACAACAGATACAATAAATTTGTATGTCATATTAAGTAAATTTAAAGTTTGTTTTTTTGCATTTGAATTTTATATTTTATGATAATATTTTAAGATTATGACAACACTATAGTTAACATGTAGTTAGGTTTAGGCAGAAAAATACTTACTTATGGTCAGGGAAAGAAAATTATTTGTCTTAAAATACCCCCTTTTGTCGCCACAAACATGGCTGGAAATGTCACTGGTCTCGAACAGTCATCTTCTACCATCTGCAGCACAGCAGCTGACTCGCCTAGCTGTCACGCCAACCACCATCCCAAACTCCTCCTGACAAGAAACTTATTGTCGGGCTCATATACATATAATCTGAACTAAGCCACTTTAGAAATGTTGATATGATATCAAATGTATAAATGTCACATATTAGTGGTTTGCAGAAATGAACAATACCAATGTTTTATTCTGGCAACTTGGCTGTCCTCATGGACTCCTTGTTGCTGCTGAGTCATTCAGATAGCTGTAGCCTAAATATTACCCTCATTTGTTTTATAGCTTAAACCCTTTTGTTAATGTCATGGTCAAGTGCACTCAGTAGTGCTTGAGGATCAATTTGTTGATGCTGCTGCTGAAAACTGTATTGTAAGGACAGAAGGGTAAAGAGAAAGGTAGAAACTGAACGAGCTGAGAGAGGTTTTGCTCATCCTCTTCTCAAACAGAGAAAATATCAGGAAAAAAACACCAGAGAATTTAGGAGCAGAAAATGGAAGCAGAGGGAGAAGCATCTCCCTCTGTCTGTGGATTATTTGTTTTGGAGCAGACTGAATGACCTCAGACTGTGGCCTTAGAAGGGCAAAGAGAATTCACACTGTGTGACAGACATGGACCTGCTGGTTAACTCGACATCCAGCTCGGCCTCTCTGCCTTTTTACTCAGCAGCTCAGAGGAAAATATGGATTCACATACCCTGAGAACTCCACTCACCCCTTGTATTTTCTTTAACCTTTGTGTCTCTCTGTTGCTGCTGATGGTGATGATATTGGATGATTTGCTGGTCTGTCAGTTTGTCTGTCCAACACTTTGGTCCAGACAGATATCTTGACTCGGACTGGCATGACATTTGCAGTGGACATTCACAGTCTGCAGTGGATTGTGATAACCCCTTAACAAAATTTCCCTAAAACTTCACAAACTTTCTCTTTCCAAGCTGTCTATTTTCCATATTGCTTCAACAGGATTTGAGAGGTTGAACAATTGATTATAATATACTGTAGTGAGGTATGTTATATTGGGTGTTTTACATGTATCTAGTGCTGTTTTAAAGGGTAAAGAAAAAACTCCAAAAAGCCATCCAATCTTTCAGTTGTTAAGAAAACTCAAGAGCTGGCTGTGTTTGTTAGGCAAGAGTGAGGAGAGAACTCAAACTTGGTAACCCAATACTTGATTGATACTTGATTGTGATATAAATCTTCTATTGCCCACTGCTTCACATGTGGTCACCAACAATAGAACAGTCACCAGCTGCTAGTACTAGGAGAGATAAGAATGGATGAATATTTGATGAATGTGTTGATGAATAAAACCTGTCATATAAGTAATGTTGTTACTACACAGCAGAGGATACAATTGAATCCTTAATAGTCTGGTGTTAAATTACAGTCCAACGGTATAATGGGTTATGGCAAAACCTTCTCTCCAAATTCACTTCAGGGGCCTGTTAATCAAAAATGGTCAATTTCTTTTGACCATCATCAATGGAGGGGTTAGTTTTAAAGGGTAAATGGTTTTTCTTTACTGGGATTAGTATATAGATTAATATGATTTTAAAGGATAAAACCCATTAAAAGCTCCTTTACTTGGTAAAAGTTGCACACCAATTTGGAGTAATCAGTAAATAATTGTAATATAATACAATAAATAAATTAAGTACTTAAATAGGATAAAAGTCTCTTGAAAATTATTTAATAGCTTAAAATATTCCATGTTATTGTTTATATGAATAAGAATGTTATTTGTAAATTGTTATGTCTGTGTGTTATGTCCGTCCATCTGTTTGTATGTCCCATTCTTGCCAATGGGATATCTCAAGAACATACTGAGGATTTTTCTTCAAATTTGGCACAAAATTCTACTTGGCCTCAACTTTAAACTGATTACATTTGGTCAAAGGTCACTGTGACCTCACAAAACATGTTTTTGGCTATAACTTAAGAATAAATATGCTAATTATAACACAATTGTGCACAGATTTCTAATAGGATAAAATGAATAAACGATCACATTTTATATCCAAAATGTCAAAGGCCAACTTCATTGTGACATCATAAAGTTCTCAGGAACACTAGGGTAAGTATTTATTCAGCCGCTAAATTGGTGAAGCTAATCTTGGTTATCCACCTTGAAACCATGCTGAATGTATAGATCTTCTGTGCTGCTGGGTTAAAGATGTGTGTGATGCATCCATGTTTTAGAAGATGTCGCCTCTTTGCAGCAACATCAATATTTGAAGCATTGTCACCTGTGAGTGACATGGATGTAAACCAAGTGCAACTTGACTGGTTTGTGGTGGCATACAACCCCTGGCTGTAATTCTAGTTTAAACCCTTCGGTTACACCTTTTTTGAAAACTTAAGGTCATTAAAAGTTACAAATTCAAAGGTGGTTACTGGTTACTGGATACTGGTAAATATCAAGGGGCACAAAACCCATTAAAGATCCATAAATATATTACTGTCCATTATGGGGTTGCCAGATTTGAGCTCAGTCCCAATTCAAAGGGCAACAAAAACCAGCTGCCTCCTCGACTGATTGCTGACTCGCTTGTTAGCTGGAAGTATACATGTAAATCAGACAGCTCTCTTTGTTGTCTTGTGCTAAGCTAGACTTACCATTGCCAAAAATAGCTCTGTGCAGGACACATGTAACACAGAAGAAGATTTAGTGTTTCTATAAAGTGGTCTCATAGATGGTTTTATATTTAAAGAATAGCTCAGTAGTTAAGGACATATGCATATTGGTTTTCTTTTCAAGTTTTAGTTATCAGTTATCAATGTAGAACAGTACAAATTATAGTCCTTCAAAAGTTAAATTTTTCCTGTTAACCCAACCACAGGGATCCAGCTGACATAAGACATACATGCGCACAGTGTAACCCTGCATACAAAAACATATACAATTCAAACACATAGAATAATAATTGAAATAAAAAATGATAAAACCAAATAGTTTTTTTTTTCTTTTTAAAAAGGAGCATTAACTCTAATCTTAGGTTTCTCAAATAAATTGCAGAAAAGGACCCCACACTGCCATTTACTGACTTTTTTTAGTAACAAATTCTCTCAAGTTTTAATTATAGCATAATGTGCTTTATCCAATGGACATGAGAGGGAGCAGCATCTCTCCATCCACCTCTAAACATCAACAATTATGTTGTAACTCGTTAGTTTGATCTGTACCCAAACAGAAATGTAAAAATGTTGCTTCCAATCTTTTTGCCAGGCTTGGCTAACCATGTTCTGATTCCAGCTTTGTAGCTGCTAAACGCACTGCCATGAGGTTGATCTTCTTATCTTACTATTGGCAAGCAGATGAACATCTTTCCCAAAATGTTGAAGTGTTTCTTTAAGAATCATTGTGTTACACTTTTCAAACTTTTTTGAAATGAGTAGAGCAGACATCAGTGTCGGACTGTCTTGTCAGCAGGTATTATCAATAATTCATCATTGCTTGTTGCTCATATTAAACTGTTCTCTTTCACTGACAGTAGTTATTTATCTAGTAGGAACACATTTTTTTTGACACAGTTTTTAAATTATTTGTACAGTTTTCCTCGTCCTCTCTTTCTAAACGAAGCATCAGTTACAATCTGGAAAGCAAATCTTGTTTGTGTCTGATGTTCTTTTTTGGGTTAAATCAAGATAAAAAAAAAACTGCAGTGAGATCAATTCCAGAACTCATACAATGTTATTATCAATTCTCATCGAAGTGGAACAAAATTCTACAAAAATTAAGTTTCCTATATTTTTTTTATAGAAGGATAAAAAGTGCCTCCAGTATTTAGTCTGAAAATCATTCCAAAGATATTTTCACTGTCAGCTCTCTTTGCCGTGAACTGAGCAGAGAAAGCAGCTGTGTGTGTATTGGCTGCTGCAGTGGAAACATGCTAATCTTTGCAGCTGTCTCTTCACTGATTTGGTGATTGGTTGAGAATTGAGAGGCTGCAGAGGTGCTGTAATCTGAGGATTAGCTGCAGTCACTGCAGGATTACACAGATTACATCAGATTACAGCTCAGATTATCTGTGTGGTTATCAAAAAAGAGCTGGATTCTATTTTAAATGCAGCGCTGTTTCATTTTCATAATAAGCTAAAAAAAATTCAAAAAATTAGATGAATAATAGAAATGAGTAAAATGTGTGTAAGAAGAGTGATAAAAATATATATCTAAAAAAATGTATCTGTTAAAATTGAAAAAAGTTCATTGTCATTGTTATATGTATGTTAGATTTGTAATTAAGGTGTGTGATGTTGTGTTTCCCTGTGTCAGGGAGCGGTCAGTGAATGTGTCGGAGCCAGAGTCTCTGGAGTTGACTGTGTCCAATCTGAAACCAGAGGAGAGCTACAGCTTCAGAGTCATTGCTTACAACGACGTGGGCCCAGGAGAGAGCTCCGCCCCATTGAGGATCACCACCAAGCCTGACCGTAGGACACACACACACACACACACACACACACACACACACACACAGATAAACAATTCTTGACAGAAAATGTCACCAGAAGCTCCGGTGGGTTAAAATGGGATAATTTAACACTTTTGGGCTGACGAACACTATCAACAGATGTGAATGGAGCACTGTCTTAAAGGGAAATTCACTTCTATCACTGAGCTCGTGAAAGCAGTTATATAATGTTGAAAAAATTCCTCTGATGAAATAATCTTGTTGGATCCAGCGTTTTTGGATCTTGACCCATACTAGAGACTGAAACAACGGGATATGTTTGCCTCTGCTGCTTCAGGTTTGACAATTAATGTATATGCCTCTGTGACAGCAATAGCCGTGGCTGGAGAAATTAGTTTTCGGTTTATCCATCTGTTCATACGTGTGTACATTCATACATATGTACCATTCTTGTAAATACGATATCTCAAGAAAACCGTGAGGGAATTTCTTCAGATTTGGCACAAACATTCACTTAGACTCAGCAACGAACTGATTGGATTTTGGTGGTCAAAGGTCAAGGTCAGTGTGACCTTGTATCTGTCTCATTATTGTGAATGCAATATCTCAAAAACAACCTTGAGGGAATTTGTTTAAAGTTGACACAAATGCCCCCTTGGACTGAAGAATAAACTGGTTAGAATTTGATGGTCAAAGGTTAAAGGCCAAGGTCACTGTGACCTCACAATACATGTTTTTGGCCATAACTCAAGAAGCTAATTATGACAAAACTTCACACAAATTTCTAATAGGATGATTATGAAAAACACTTTTTCAGGCCATTACTCAAGGGGAGCGTCCATCTTGAAACTGATGCTAATTGTATAGATCTTCTGTGTGTGAAGCCTCCATGTTTTCACAGACAAATAGTATAAACTGTGAGATAAATTTGACTAGTGCGCAGAGGCAGACACAATGGCAGAGCAGTACTTCTGGTTTCTTTGACTGTGATTCTTGTGAGTCCCCTAACTTTATGGAAGTCTGATACAAAATCACCAGAGTGCTACTTCAGTGTAGCAGGCTCAATGCAGGGACACGCTTCATTCAAAGAGATTATCGCTTGAGAGGATGTAAATGTCTAGTGCTTAAAAAAATTCAAACCCCACTTTTTCAAATGTAATATCCATAAAACATATTGGCATATATTCAGGCCAGTATTGTTTTATGACAGAATAAACAAAAGCTAAATAAAATTGGTTTGTAATCATTCATCAACCCTCCAATGACAATTCAAAAAGCTCTAGTTGCACGTATATCTGACAACCATCCCCACCACACCTTATTGCCCTCCGTCAACTAATCTCTGCTAGCTTTTCAGCTAACTTAGCCCCTAAGGTCTTTAGTTTAGCACACTCAGCTAACGTTAGCTAGCCACTGTGAACTTCAGTTTGACACACCCAATCCATGGATGTATAAAGACAACTGGAAAAAGTGTTGGAGGCTTGGCCTTATTTATTTTTATGGAAGCTGCTCAGTGATGTATGAAGCCAAAAAGTTCAAGTTCATATAAAATTACCAGGATGATTGGCACTGCTTCTGCACTGTATAGTCCATAGAGCTCCTGCCAGTTTAGCACTCTGGTAACTTGAATGCCGATAAAATGACTGAACTGTATGGCTCTTCTAGACTTCCCAAATGTTACCAGACTGAATGTATCTGAATGTATGTAATATACATTGCCTCTGTTAGGTTGGTTAGGGTTAGGCAAGAGGAGTGACATAGGTTAGGGTAAGAATGTCAGAGTAAGCCAATCAGAGGCAGTAAAAGGAAGAGCAGGGTGGGTGATGCATCCATACACTACATGGCCATGGAGCTATGTGTTAACTCTAGAGAGAGAGAGAGAGAGAGAGAGTAAGAAGGGAGATAAGAGACATGTGGTGAGACCAACCCATGGCACAGCAGGGTTGTGGGATGATCATAAGGAGCTGAAGGGTGATGAGGTCATGGATTAGGTGCACCACTGGACCCTTCTCTCCATTACTGCAGGAGAAAATGGGCCAGTCAGTCGGTCATTGTAGTAATGATAGATGTAGCAGTGAAAGGTGTAATAGTAGCAGGAGTAATAACAGCAATAGTAGTATCAGTAGTTGTGTGTGAGCAGTGTGTTGTCTCTGTATGTCTCTACAGTCCAGGTTCCCAGCAGGGTGGAGTCTCTCCAAGCTGAGGCTCTGTCTCCCACCTCCATCCAGGTGAGCTGGGAGCCTCCCAGCCAACCAAACGGCCCCATCCTGGGCTACAGACTGCTGTGGACCGAAAGCCCGTCGGGCAAGGAACAGGTCAGTACCATCACTGCCGCAGTACTCCCTGTCACAACACCAGGCATTTTGTGCAGTTTGATAAACCTCTGAATGCAATTTATGTCACAAATTACAGACATTTTGTGATAACTCAGCCGTAGTGCACACAGAGCTGTGTATTTCTGAAAAAAGGGGTTCTAAAAAAAATCCCTGTTATAGCACTGGTATAAGCACTGTTATGAAAAAAATGTTCATGCCAATGAAAGTGCAAAAACACATCTGAAGTATTGTCGAGAACATGCAAACCCTACAGGCGGCGATATAACCCTAACACTATAGTCACACAAAGAAGAAGAGGAATCAGAAGCCTGAAAACAAGCCATTGCTGGAAGATTACACGTAGCAGTGACCTCTGTGGGGCATTTTTATGCTTTTGTTCCTCAGTATAGTGAAACGGTTACTCCACATTTATGTGTAAACATGTAGAAAATTCTGTTACATCCGCCATTGCGTGAAATGTTGCCTCATTTGTGCTGCCTCACAAAGGAGATAGAAGCGCGCACTCTGAGGTCTCAAGCCAAAAACTTAGTTTTCCCTGTCTGTGAGTTTTACAAAAGGTACGTTTTCAGGGACCTTAATCTCACGTTTTCAAATATAGACGTATGTGGACGAGGCCTCAGTCTAATTAAAACACCAAACCAAGAGAAAACATTCAAAGTGTAATTACTCCTCTGTGTTTGTGTTCAGAGTGTGGAGGTGAGCGGACTCAACTACAAGATGGAGGGACTCAATAAATTCACAGAGTACACAGTTCGAGTTTTGGCGATCAACCGCTACGGACCAGGCACTGCGCCAGAAACCATCAGCGTCACCACCCAATCAGATGGTGAGCTTTACCTTAACAACTCTTTATTAATCCAGTGTGGTAAGTTATGTACAGTACATCAGTAACTGAATGCATCACTGTTTACTACACTGTGATGATGTATGTTTATAAAGGGAGAATCATTTCTCACAGTAGAATTGATTGTTTGGGAGCTCCCTCAAAGGGGACATTGTAACCATTCGCCATAAAAGGTTGATTCCTTGACCTGAGTGTCTCAGACTGAATCTTAAAATTCCTGGAAGACAGTGATGATGACCTTTGAACTGAGGGCAAATTGAATCACAATACTTTGGGCCCTATTTAGATGGTCTAAAGCGGACAGCGGCGCATGGGCGTGTCCCAGTCACTTGCTAGTTAGACAGCGTGTTTTCAGACTGCGCGCCATGGCGGGGAGTCTTAAAGGGTTGGACTTACTCTGTGAATTAGTCATGGGTGTGTTTTGGGTGTATCATTCCATAAGCCAATCAGAGTGTCACCTCTCATTCCCTTTAAGAGAGGCGCAATTGGAGCGCACGGCGGAGAGCTAGTTAGATGGCGGACCTACCAACTGGAAAGAGTGAGCGTTTTACAGCTGAAGAGACAATAAATGTATCTCTATATAGACTGTCCCGTCACATCTGATGTCAGATCAAAGGGGATTGGCACCGTTTGGCACGCATAATGAAAACCCAACCTGATTTGATTAACACGGCTGCAAACTAATGAGTTCACATCCCTCTCAGCCAACCACAAACAGCCACAGCATCAGATAGGGAGTATATATTCAGCATCTGTCATCTTAGAAAAGTCAAAAGAAAAGAAACAGAGTGAGAATGCGAGAGAGAAAGAGAGAGCACGCGCGCACAGGAGAAACGCTGTCAAGAAATTGTAATTCAATTTTATTTTAACCCAGGAGGTTAGAGAGCCCAGCTCCCTCTCCAGCATCCTGAACCCCCCGCCCGAAGGTCCAGGAAGGGATGGTCCCGTGGCTGCACCCGGGCCGTCTGGTCTGGCTGCGCGCGGGCTGCGGTGCTTCCCCCGGGTGCTTCCCCCGGGTGCCCCCAGCTGTGCGGCGGGCTGTGCAGCCGCTGTGCATCCTCCTCCTCCTCCTGACAAGATGATTTTCAGTTTTACATTCTAAAAGCTTTTTTTTAAAATATACATTTGTACTTGTAGGGCTGTAAGTTTACGTTTTTAGTTCACAGAAGCTGGTTATTGTTGCGTTTATGTCAAAATAAAGTTTATCAAACGTTTTCACATCTTTTGTTATCTTTTGCATATGTGTGGCTGCTCCGTGTGTGTCTGAGCAGAGTGCACGCGCGTTGTGCACCCGCCTAGAGACGCATATTACCAACTTGTTTAACAGCGAAATACTGCACCGTTGACTTTAGACCAGGTTTTTCTTGGTCACTGGCGCATTTGCTTTTTATGTCATCTAACTAGCAACGTGCCATGACTGCGCCTGACCACACCTCATTTTTAGACCAACACACCCAGAGAAGTGCAAGTTCATTTGCTAGTTAGATGACGGGGGCGCAGAGCGTGAAAATGACAACTGCACCTGCATCTAAATAGCAATGACACTTGCGACATGGATTATGCGCCCTCCGCTGTCCGCTTTAGACCATCTAAATAGGGCCCTTTATCTCCATTGTTAATTGCCCTTTGGTTTCCACTTAAGATAGTGAAGGACCTTCACTACCCTCCAACAACCATTTGCATTAGGAATCCAACACATTCTCATCCCCACCTTACATTTCGCCACTTGATCAATGGACTTTCATGTCTACATATTATGCACTAGATATCCTGGGTATGTCTGCCGTTGATGTTCTGGGAAGCTGTGTCAATGTACACGTGTTACATGTGTTATTTCTTTTCAAAATACACTTCAGTTATCACAGGAAATTAACATTTTCTGCTCCTTAGATGCAAACAGTCTTTTTCAAAATGTACCCCCACCTTGGTAAAACACAGCATATTTATGTTATTTCACTGTGCAACACACACACACACACACACACACACACACACACACACGGTTAGGTTGAGAAAAAAAACATCATGATTTGGCTACATTCACATGGGAAGAGAACCCTGGCCTCCTGGGTGAAAGTCTGGTGTTGTTGAACCTATCCACCGCTGCCCCACCCTCCCGCAGTGTTTCAAATTGATGCCGTCCGGTGGCATTATTAACTGAAGCTGCCTGACGGTGTGTCATACCGCCACAAATGGATGCCTGTTTTTCGTCGGTGTCTGATGTGGAAATCACTGACCAAGTGACGTTATTTGGCAACCGCAAAATGAGAATGGGGAGGAACAAATACAGGTAGCCAGGATTTTAGAAATTTAGATTTGGAGTTTGTTCTTGTCTTTATACACGTTCCCTAAAACACCAAACACAGAGGTAGTTTGTTGGTTCTATCATGTTATATAAGGTCATTTACACAATGGGATAAATACTGGAGCTAAGGTCTCCATTTCAAAATGTAATTTCCACAAAAAATGAAATATTACACATAATAACAGAAAAAAACATAATGCTCAAAATACTGACAGCATGAGCTCAGTGTTACTGTAGCTACGACCCTGAGTAAAGATTGCCATGTTTCTGGACCTTTATATTTGTAAAATAGTGAACTGAACCTGACAAGTGGATGGGATTCAATCATGAAGGGAAATTCTAAAGAGTTTGTCCTGGAAGTCCTTGGTTGTTTAAATGAGAACATTTTTGCTGAATAATGAATATAATCCCTGTTTGGACAAACTGATTTCTGCTAAAGAGATCAATACATAATTGAAGCACATTATTTAAGTGTTGTAATATTTAAAGTGACATTAGCATCTTTAGTTCTTGTATGTTGTTGAGGTTCAGGTTGTAAAATATTAAGCATCATTTTGCAGCATTTCAAAATAAAACCCCTTAAATTAAAGGTATAAAATGCAGATTAATGCATTAATATTTCAAAATATGCAATGTTCAGGAAAATTAAAGTGTACTGAAAGTGTGTCTGCTGTCTGCAATATGGCTGGTTTGAACTGGTCCATCTGCAGCCATTCAGCTGAGACCAGAGAACTGCTGGACCAGGTGTTGCCTATTACCTGACACCGTGTGTGTATGTGTGTGTGTGAGTGTGTGTGTGAGAGAGAGAGAGAGAGAGAGAGAGACAGAGACAGAGACAGAGACAGAGATATGAAGGAATAAGCAATATAGAAAGAAGGGCCAAGAAACAGCAACACACACTTTATCCCTCTTTTCCCGAACACACACATTCTTACATGGACAGAACAAATTTTCAATTTAAGCATCAAACAACCTGAGCAGTAAAGCTTGAAATAAAATTAAATACATAAATGACTAAATAAATTTGAAAAAGTGCAGTGTATACAGACTTAGTAAAAAAAACTGTGATGCACATGAAGCACATGACTTATTTATCACTCAAGCTTCCCCTGAAGATGAAAACAGAAAACAAAATGTAAAGAGTGTTGAGGAGGCTGTAACCCTCCTCACATTGATTCATCAAACAAACAAACAATTATAAATCTCATATTTCATTTTGTATTTCATGGTTCTACATGCTTTCCATCATTTGAGCTTTATATATGCATATATACACTCAACTAGTTCTACAGTCAACTGCTTGAACTAGGAGGCAACACTGTGGGCCTTAAGGCCGGTATACACTGTGCGATGTTGGGCTGTCCCAGACGAAAGATGGCCATCGTGGGAGAAACGTGGCGATATCTTTGGTCGTGGCTCTAAAACGGTGGTCTTACATCGCACTGTGAAACAGGTTCAAGGACGGCCGTTATCAACGTCTTGCGACCAAAGATAACCTGAGATAAAATTCTGAGGGTGTCAGAAATTTAGGATGACTCTCTCACAGTGTGACAGCTGCTACGACCTACGTCTACTAATCAACCAATAGAAATGCAGCACGAAATGACGCAATGGTCACCGCGACACCGGCGCTAAACCCAAACAAATGATCGCTTGACATGGAGGTAAAACGAACAAAAAAACTCCCAGAAAGAGGAAAAGTGACTGTGAGAAAAAAGACGCTGCATGGAAGGAAATTGTGGAGGAACTGCAACTTTCAGGTGAGCAAGCTACCTATGGTGGCACAGATGGATGATGTACGCTGATGCGGTGCATGCTGATGACGTTGCATATTGACGTACGTCGTAACCCGTGATTCAGTAGTAAACAGCCATCATACAATCTGCACACATCAAACTTGACGTTGTACCAAAGTTTATTAGATCCACGTCTCACAGTGTGTCATGCAATAGTCTTATAAGATTGCTAAAATCGCACAGTGTATAGAGGGTATTAGTCAAGAGGACATCTAATATAATTTTAGCCAGAATCATAGTCACGTTTGATGTGCTTTTAAATTTGGATTGGTAGTTTAAAAAAAAAAAAAATAGTTGTTGTCTCTGTTATTCTCTGTATTACTGCATGAGAGCTGTCAGTATCTCTTCTGAATGGAGCTTCAGCTCAGACCTCAACATTCAGCTGCTGACTGCTGCTTAGACACATCTGTTGTCATTAGTAAACTCCTATACAGAGACAGTGAGAGAGAATGGAGGCATCTGTCCAGCTGCAATCACACCATAAAATGATCTATAATAATACACACACACACACACACACACACACACACACACATACAGAGTGGCTGTATTGTGAATCTTCCGGCTGCGTCTCAATGATAACAATGACTTGTGGGCTAATTGAATCCACAATAAAACTGACACACACATACACACACACACACTCATACACACTCAGTCAGTGAGCAGCTGAATCAACAGATAAGCTGCTGACAGTTAATCAGGCGTCTGGTTGGACAGACGCAGAGTTCATTCAAACCAAAACACTTTGATTCTCAATTTGAACAATGCCACACTCCATCTCTGATACAAGGGAGAGGACCACATGTCTGCTGCCTCTTCATCATCACCCTGTCCATCCTCCTCTTCCACCTTCTTCTGTTGAACCTGTTAATCTTTGTCTTTGCCATCATCATTGTCTTGTTTTTCATTTTTCATCTTTGTTTTCATGTTCTAGTTTTCTTTCTTTTTTTGTTTGTTTCCTTAGTTTTCCTTTGTTTGTTTTCCTTTGTTTCTATTCCCTGCATCTTCCGGCAGCTTTATTATCTTCTTCATCTTTGTTTTTGCTTGGTACTCTTTTTATTCATCCTGAGCTTTCGGTTCTTCACTTTGGCCTTGTCCTTTATTTTTCTGTCCAATCACCACCCTTGTTATCTTTATCTTCAGTTTTCGTTTGTCTTCTCCATCCTTCTATTCATTTTCCTGCTCTTCTTTGTTTTGGATCAATTTCCAGGACTGACTTCAGAATCAGTCTGATGTCCTGATGATTCAGAGGAATGAAGTGTGTGTGTGTGTGTGTGTGTGTGTGTGTGTGTGTGTGTGCGTGCGTGTAATGACACCTGTCATGCTTCTGGTGGTAATCTTGTTTTGCTGTTGTGACACAGTCAGATCTCTGAGGATGAGTGCTGTCTCAGCTTCGATCCGTCTGCTTCCTGTCTGTGCTGATGTCATCAAGATGACTGATTGACAGCAGTGTTCTGACACTGAGAGAAACAAACTCATTTTGGATGTGTTGAGCCTTGACCTGAAATAGAGGGAAACTGTTTGCCTTGCCCCAATGAAAAAAGAAAAAAAAAAAAAAAATACACCAACATATTTAGGATATGAAACTGATATTCATCTTAAAGTGCGATTCAGTTTATCCCAAAATATCAGATTGTTTTAATTCCTCTGATCTACAGTATGTTGTATAGAGAGCCGGAACCTGACATCAAGTCCAGTTTAGCCTCTGTTCCACTTTAGCTTCTGTAACTCAATGCAATTTCTCATTTAATGTTTCTTTCATCTGTATTTCTGAAAAACAAAGCGTGTTCCTGGAGCTTACTGTCCATCTCTAACAAGTTGGCATCCAGTACAGCGTGTTCCATTAGAATTTGAAACGTGTCTGCATGGCAGAGTGGGTTCTTACATTATCTTAACTTTTGTCCTTACCCATAATATTCAACACTTTCTCCTAATGTCTGCTCTAATAGCTGTACTCTCTGCTCTCTATCAATGTGCACACTGCTCAGTGTTCTGGCTGTTATTACAAACATGTCCCCTGACCATAACCCCTGTGGACTTGCCCCGTCTATCAAGCTGTAACATGGTCTCAGGCGTGTGGGAAGTCGTGTTTGTTAAAACCACAGTTGGTAATTTATTTGTTTTGTTTTTTTTGGTTTTTTTTTTCATATCTGCTGAAACTGTCTCTATATTCAATCAGCACTAAATGTGGAAAAAATCATGTTCCTTTGCCTACTCTGTTGTCTCACAGTGCTATAAGAGCTGAGGAATGTCTAAAGTAGCTGTCAATCTTGTCAAACTAGGCAGTGCTGCTCAAATCTGAATCAAGACTCTGTCACTGTGTTGCCTATATGTTCTCTCAGAATTTTTCAGAAACATATTTTAGTATACTGTGTTGCTGTAAAATTAGAAAGTTTGCGTAGACTGATGGGCGGGGGCTGGTACTTCTATAGACTGTTTTCAACATGGCGGCCAGGCCACAAACTTTCTAATTTTACAGCTAAACAGTACACTAAAATATAACACAGTAACAGAATCTTGATTCATATTTGATCAGCGCTGCCTAGTTTCAGTTTGACCACAGTTTACAAGCAGCAACTGACATAACTGACAGAATCCTCGGCTCTGATTGGCTGTTTTTGGTGTGCTATGGTAGATTCTAGTAATCGCCATTAGAAGTACAACATGGAAGAGGAGGGACATGATTTATTTCACAGATTGTCCATCTCCCTCACTACTGTCAATATATCCTGAAATTTTCAGCACGTTTGACAAAAAAATGTATATCAATAAAGTTGCCAACTGTAGCTTTAAATGCAGCTATAAACAGAAATATTGATTGATGACATTAGATTTTTTTTTTTTTTAAAGTTATCATCCTTACTGAGACTCCTGGATTAAACCTCTTGCACTCCACCCCCATTTTGTAGCAAAAACGCCTAAAATGACATACGCAAATTAAAATGATTGTAGCTTCTGAACTGCTCTGACTACATGCATGCATGAGGTCTTGCCAGAAAGATAACTCCCTGAAGTTTCTTGTGAAAGTGTCAGAAACACCCTAGATGATACAGAGACAGAGTAATGGGCCACTGAAGTCAGTCAGAAATTGAAGATTTTGGTCCGCCTACAATAAAAAATGTTTTTCAGGATGAGTAACTGTCTGTGGCTTCATCTGTGGAGGTAAATGACAGTATGGGGCTGTAGGCAAACTATCAATGAACACTTGTTTCAAATTTGAAGAAGAAAGCACAAAGTATGACCATTCTACAGTGTTTTTTCCATGAAAACAGCTCCAAAAGATAAGTCAGTCTCTTGGTTTCAAAACAGTACTGTCAGTGATCAAACAACAGTCAGCCAGCTTCTAACATTGTACCGTATTGAAATCAGGCGTGATTGTGATAGAAAATGTTGTTTTTAACACAGAAACACCATAAAACATCACCAGAATAAGGCCACATGAAAAGTGAAAGTTATGATCCCACTTTCTAGACGGTGTATCTCAGCCAAAAATAGTGGTAGGAGTGAGACTCTTACCTTTTATAAAACAGCTAAGTCCCTGCTAACAGCTGTTCATAAGGTTGCATGTAATTCTGTAACTTTTCCCATCCAAAAACGGCATGACATGACTTGTCACCACCACTCACCGCGATTTTGGACTATGTGTGTTAGGCTGTTCTGGTGCGAAATACATAAGAAATAAAAGAAAAACGATGTTATTTTTGAAAAGTCAAGAGCTTCCTGAATCTAGCAATACCAAATATCACATGGTTTGATGACATAATGCGTCTGGGAGATACCATTTAACAGAGGAGGAGGGGAGCGAGGACATCGGCGTCTTCGCGGAGATAGTGAGGTTAAATTGTACAACTTGCTGTCGAGTGAGCTTATACTCCAAAGCTGTATTTTTATTTATTTGCATTACTAGCATAGCCAGAAAAAAACTATGGGTGTGCTTTATCTTATTATCTCTGCAACACATAATAATCTAGACTGATGTGCACCTCTGCAGACATATAACCATCCATCCTGATTTATGGTGAGGTGCTCCACAGCTTATAAGAGTGCCTCTCGACAGAAATTAAAAAGCAGGATGAAGTTTTTGATTTATGCTTTGGCGAAATGTTTCGATCGTCTCCATGGTAACCTGCAATTGGCTTGCAGTGTCTGTGAGCTGCAAATTCCCTTCACTCCCCACAGGGGGCCTGGAAAATATAATCAATAAATCAATAAATATGAACGCTGTTGATTTCTTCCCATGGAGCTGACATGAAAACTACTTTGGTTCAGTAAATGTCTGCTGTCAGTCAGCCTGGTGAAGGCAGTTTGACAGGCTGCTGCTGACAGATGGCTGCTTCTGTGGACAGAGATGCTGAATGCAGGTCGGAGTTGGTCTGGATGGAAAACTACTATCTCCGTGGTGAAGATAGTTGTTTTTTTTTTAATTTATTTTTTGCACTCTCTCTTGAAGTTTTATTTATCTATTAAATTTTTTTATTTGTATCAGAAAAATAGCAATAACAAGAAAATGATTGGCTGAGATACATGTGATATAGCTCAGCAGTCGTTTCAGACCCATGGACAGCACCATTTGTAATGTGAAGGGGCCACTGGTGTGTGTGTGTGTAGGAAAGACGTGCGCTGTCCGTAGTACTAAATCATCACAGGAGATAAATAACCTGCCTGGTTTGCATAGTGATAAACAAAATTTTTGCAATCAATTCCTTTTCACCCCCTTATAGCAACCCACAGACAGAAGGGAACTGGCGGGGAAGTGGCTAAATTTAAAACAATACATAATTGTAATAAAAATGTATTCTTCATCTGATTTTGGGGTGTGCCAGATGCCTCATTGGATGGCACAGGCACATCCTGGCACAACTGTGGCTATGCAGGTAACTAGCATTATTACAAAGGTCAATGGGATTTTGAAAAAGGTTTTCTGGAACAGGACCCAGAAGTTGGTCTTTGTCATTGGTGAGTGATTAGTTTCTATGAACCAAGTCACTAAATGTGTTCATGTCTCTCTAACGCAGACAGACTCACAGCTGTTTGGCTTGTGACCTCACTGTGAACATGACTTGTGATCAGTTTTTCCCTCACATTATTTCTTCTCAAGGACTTTTAGAAGCCTTAAGAAGTTAGAGTTTTCAGATAGATATGATATATAGATAAAAATACTTTATTTTCTAAAGCAGCAGAAGAGAATGTGTAAGTGAGGTAACATACATAATATGTATAAACAAGTGCAGTGTGCACTGCACTGCATTCTCAGCATATGCAGTGTGTCAGAGTTGTGTGTGTCAGCAGCCGGTTATATTTTTGACTAATGAATAACTTGATAAACTGTATTAACACTGTTTCTGTGTTTGTCTGTGCAGTACCCAGCGCTCCTCCCCAAAACATCACCTTAGAGGTCGTCCTATCCAGGGTGAGTTTATATTTCTATACTTTTATTCTCTCTTCTCCCTGTCCACATCTGTACAGTGCATCAACAACGTCAGCTCAACAAACTGTTACATTCACGGTGATTTTAACAGAAAGAAAAAAAAAAGAAACTTTGTCCAATGGACGCTGCCATATTTCAACATATTCTGTATCACATTTCATGACAGACAGTTTAACAGTTTCCATAGTTACACTTAGACAATCTGAGCTGGTTATTCCATCTGTTGCCTACAGAAACCATTTCACATTCACAGCACATTTCCCAGGTTTCTCCACTTGACGCATTCTGACACACATTTAAACTGTGACACTGCCATCAGTCAACAGTTGCTCTCCGGTGATCTGGCCTCATTTTACTGATTTATGTGGTGTACGAATGTGTTTGTGTGTGTGTGTCTATTTGTCCAAGCTGCTCATGATTTATGGGATGAAAATACTGTAGAGGACCATACGACATATTCTTTTAATGGTCAAAACTCCAGTTTGCAAAAAAAAAAGCAGATATTGTCCATAGTAAGAAAGTAGTGACCTCTATGCCCACTGACACAACATTTTTGTCCAACAGCTTCTATTTCTTAGAATGTTTCTAAGTCAGGTGCTTAAAGGCTCATTAAGAAATAAGACAGAAGAGTTCACTTGACTATATTTCCTCTTCAAGGCAAGCATGTACTAGGGCTGAAATTCAGCCAGGGACTTTGAGATGGAGGGGCCTTTCATGCAAGCATCCAAAAGGAGCAAGCAGAAAACTTTTTGGCAGTAATTTTAACACTATAACAGTGTTTGTGGTATAAAGAGAATCTGATGATGCTAAAGACCTTCAGGACATTTTGGAATGTCTTGTTTACACCTGCCTTGCCAGTTTGTATAAGCACGTTATCACAGCATTGAATCAAAATGAGATCAGGCTGGGCAGTCACAGTATACTATCAACTCCATCCAACTTCTGAACATGCACAGTCACTCAGTCAATAGAGTGCCAAAATAGTTACAAATGCTCACACACTTTGATAGCCAATGTTTTTCAATATACAGTCACAAACTTTAATTCAGTCCCATTAAAAATAGAGCAAAATAAACAGTCAACCATTGAGGTGTACAGGCCTATAGCTTTTCAAATCTCCCAAACAAATGGAGCCTGACCTGACACTAGTGGTGGGCGATATGGCCCTAAAAAAATATCACAATATTTTACAGTATTTTTGGGTTGACGATATTCTTGATGATATGACAAATTAGTAAAAACATTTTTTAAGTTACTAATTTAAGAGAACAGAATATGAGAATACGTTGAGGAACAAAGGACACAGCAATTTAACGTAGAGTGGAGTTTGGTTGAGATACAATAAAAACCAAAGCGCCAATCGCATCAGCCTCTTTCACTCTCTCAAACTGTTAAAGAGCAGCTTACTATTAAGTAAGCAGACAGAAGAGGCCAAGCTGAAGGACACTGATCAGGAGCCCACAGATTAGTGGGCTAGAGTTACAGCATATGTCCATAACCACATTGTTAAGTTACTAAACTTCAAATATTAATATAATGCATCACAAAGTTAGTGAACAGCATCCCAAGTATGCTCTCAGAGTCAGATTGTGTTGAATTTCCATTTTACAAGTTATATTAAAAACAATCAGAGCTAAATTCTAAATACATGTTTCTATTATTGTTGTCTGTTGACTGCATTCAGGTCATATCAGAGTACATTTACATTTGCACAGTAGTGTGAGTAGCAATCTGGCCTTTACATAAACTGAGAGCTCCCTCAATCCTGCTGACACCACAGAATTTATTTTGATGATCCAGAGGAAATGGGGGTTGGAGATTTGCTTAGTAAAAAAAAGTCAGCTGCTCTACTGCAAATGATCTCACTGTCTTAACTTCAAATCTGTGTGGAACAGCTCGACTGTGTTCAGGAACCCAGAAAATCAATTACTGTTTGATTCTGCTGTCGTGTCAGAAGATTTAAATAATTACTGAAGGTATAAATTATGCACTGTGCATCTGCAAAGCTATAGACTGCAGATACGATCCTGCAGCTGATGGTTACAGATATACATTCAACAAACACCTGTGAGTGATTATGGGTACAAATCAGACATCCTTATAGTCTTCTTCACCCTGAGCTGAGTCATAAGCAGCGGGTTGTCCACATCACAGCTTGGATAGGTAAAAGAAGTTCACCTTGATGGTGTATTGGAGCTGTGCTAATTTGCACAAACCAAAGCAGAGCCCGTCACCTGATCCACTGACAGATTAACTCCAAATTTGCCCATATTTTCTCCTGGTTTATCAATGGGAAACTTAATGTGTGGAAAAAATGGGTTCACATCAGCAGTAACTAAAATTTGTGGTAGGGAGTTTCCTGGAAAAGACCAAAACATGGAAGAATTTAAAAAAAAAAAAACACCCTCCTCTCCCTCCCATCTCTATCATAAGCCTCTGCCATTAGACGACTATGGGCACACCCTTCATACAGTAACCAAGTGTTACCCATACATTGTTTTTTCTTATTCATTGTAGAGTGTGCACATTCTTTAATCCCTCCTTGCACCGCTCTCTGTTTATCAGACAACAAATTAGAGAAAAATTAGCAAGCCAGCCACCCCACGGTCTCTTCAACTTGCTTCTCACTGCTGTGGACTGCTTAGCTTGGAGAACAGAGAGCAGCAGCCTTGGACACCTTCAGTCAAAGGCTTTACAATCTTGAGTTCAGCCAGCACTGATCCCCATCACTAGCTGCAACAGTGGGGTGGTGTTCAGCTGCAGCTCCAGGTCTAACCTATTTAATAGCAGCAACAGAAAGTTTTCTGATCTGGTAGGGAGTTGGGGTGGACCAGGATCACACCCCGACACTGGGGTTCGTGCTAGCTGAATTTGACTTCCTAGAGCCGCTGACTGAAGGTCAGTGCCTGTAAAGTAATTCAAAATGGCTTACTTTAATTAGAAGCTCTAGCTATCTATATAAACATGCCCAAGCACCAACCTCTAAGGCTGAAAAATAAAGCCAACATGAAAGTGCCAAAAACTGCATTTGATCAAGGCTTAAAGTTGCTCATATTTAAGGGTGGGCCACTTTTAAATGGCAGGCTGTTTGCCGATAGTGTCCTCAGCCTATCAGTCAGATCCACCCCTGCTCCTAACACAAATATAGCAACATCTGGCTCCAAAAAAATAAAAAACAAGATGGTGATGGCTAAAAGGATTCTAAAACACTTTGCCAATATTGACACGTTTTATTCCATTTAATGTTTGACTCTCTTTTAGACTCTTTTGATAAGATAGTCTTCCTTTTTGGCTTACTTTGCAGTGCAGGCAGCCAGTGCTCATGCTTGAATAGCAATTTTTCTGCAGAGTTCCTGCCATTGAATTTTGCTTTCACCAAAGGGACATCCACACACAATTACATTTGTACAACAGCCAATAGGAATGCCCTCTCTCTGAAATGACCTGTGATTGGCCAAAGTCTCCCGTCACAGGTAAGGTTTTCTAAAGCCTAAGAACTGAGCCAGGTGGAGGTGCATATGTCTAGTCTTCTCTCAGTCCACTTTAATTACGATATGCTTAAAGATTATCGTGTGATTTTTGCCCACTTAAGCCAAAATGAAACTGTCTCCTCCTGCTTCAATCCAGCAAAAATGTGACTGATTACAGTCAGTGAATGGTAAAATGCAGTAAAACTTAAATTTGAAACAATGAATGGGAACATAAGCATAAAACTAAACTTCAGACAACAGAGATTCAGTCAGAAAAGCTGACCACAGAGACTTTTAAAAACAGATTTTCTCTCTCAAACACATTCTCCCAACCTGGGTGAATGGAATAACTATGCGATATATACAAATGTATCGGCCTATCATTTTGATTTTCTGGAGAGGTCTCAGTGTGTGCTTCTACTGAGTTACCATGAAATTACTGAGGATTATCTCGACAACATGGGCCGCACTTTGGCCTCCACAATTTACACTTCATGGTTTTTCTGGCACCCCAAGCATTTCCCTACACTGCCAATGCCAGCAGCCTGCTCTGCAAAAACTTTAAGACATTGGCATGAAGTTTTCTTTTTGTCATCAGGTTTTTTTTTTGCATCCTGCTCTGAAAGTGGTAGCAGAGAAAATGATGAATGTTTCCAGAGTCAATGTGAACGGCTCATAATTTATGTCCATAAAGAGGAGGTTCAGGCTGTCTTTGGAGGGCTGACCTCATTTAGTTTCTGTCTGCTTATTTTCCTGCATGTGATTGATATTTCTCTGCTGATCAGCTTTCAGGTCAGGGCTGATCGATCAGTGATGTCAGAGCTACTTGACAGTTTAAAGCCTCATGATACAATCTTTAAAATGAGAAATATTCTTAACCAAACATTTGAATTGTTTACTAATGCTTCTTACTTGTGTAGTTATTGTGTCTTTAACTTACTCTTCCTGAAAAGATGTTTGTATTCTTAACGTTGAAACTTAGGAAAAATTTACAAAATGTTGCCAAGATAAATTAAATCTGCATACCAAAAATTCTAAAGCACCAGGTGGTTATAATGTTTAAACCCCTAATGAAGGGCTTTTCATCAAACCCAGTCCCCTCCACACCCTGACCTCTGACCTTGGACCTCCTTGTGGATGAGGATGGGTCTTTGACCAAATAATTAGGATTTCTGTCTTGTCACTGTTCAATTAAAAAATAAATAAATAAATAATAGACTTCCACTCATCAATATACTTGATACATTCTGATAGCGTGTCAGTTGGGCTCAGATCATTGGGGACAGGGGATTATATAGTTGTGTGTCATCAGCATAATTATGGTGACACAAATTGTGTTTCTTGATAAGCATGCCCAGAGGCAACAAGTAAAAATTAAACTATAATGGGCCTGAAATCGATACCTGAGGAACGCCACATGAGATAAAATTTGTTTTAGAGCTAAAATTCCCAAGATTAATGCTAAAATCTTGTTCTTTGAGGTATGATTAAAAACCAGTCTAATTCAGACCC